GTGGTGCTGAGGATCGAACCCGGGCCGCATGCATGCCAGGCGAGCGCGCTACCACTTGAGCCACATCCCCAGCCCCTTTATTTCTCTTTTAACTCAATGTATACTAAATGTTAACATTTCAACATGTAATTAATATAAAAATAATGCAATATTTACATTCTTTTCTGTAGCACTCTTAGAAATTCAGAAGTTCATAAATGTACACTTACGTAATATCTCAACTTGGGCCTGCTGAATAGCTATAAGTGTCTACTAGCTACAATATTGGACAATGTACTGGTGCATACCTCAGAGTTACCTACCTTCACTTTTTCCCTTGCCTGCCAGATCCAAACGATTACTATGTTTCTGCATTATTACTTTTTCAATACCCAGCTTTACTTTTTTTTTCTACCAAGTACTGTAATCACCTCACAGTTCCCTCATTTGTTTCCTTGATCCAATCCAAATAAACTATTGTGAGACTAAAACTCCCAAAATGCTACTTTAAAAAAACATCAATGGCTCCCAATTCCCTATGAAAGAGCATTCAAATGCCTCACTCTTATATCTGAAGCTTTCCACAAAATCCTTCATTTTTCATTGCTCAACTCCAAACACTGTGTGTTTCAGCTAATCCAAACTGCAGATTGTGCCTCTGTTTTCCCAACTCTGTCCCTTTGGTCACTGACTGTCCACTCTGCCCATCAAAATGTTTTCCTTTTCCTCAAAGAAGTTGTTGAACTCTGTATTTTTTCATTAATACTTGTGTTTCCGCCCCAACTAGATAGTATCTCTTCATTCTTCATATCATCATCCTGTATTTCTTGTGCAATTTGTACAAACCTATTTTTATTTAGATTTTTGTGTCTATTTTTCTTATTCCTCCATATTTTAGCCAACTGGGGCTAGGGTGGTATCTTCAAAATCTCAGTATCCCAGGCAACAGTCAACTGGTTCCATGGGTCTACAAATAGATGCCTTAAAGAAGCCAGTCTCTGAGATTCATTGGCAGTGATAAGGAAAAGCACAGGAAACCAAATTTTTTAAATATCTTTTCATTATTTGGGAAAGAAGAAAAACCCATAAAGCAAGGAGATTTAATGAGATGTTTCTCTTATAAACTTGGTTGGGAAGATAGGGTTAAAAGTCCACAACTAGCTTACAACCTCTTAGGAAAGTTTTAAGAGTTGTTTTAGAAAACACTTGATATGAGAGGGCTAGAACCACTTCTAAAGTGTTTTGATATTACAATTTCAGTATAAAATGTGTGCATCCTAATCATCTTCAGGAGCCTTTTCCCAGTATTGTTGGCTGAGGACATCACCCAAATTCTCCCAGGTGATGTCTAATTAGATATCCAGGACCATCACTGGGCCTTTGTTCTAGGGCAACAAGTTTATTAAGCTATAGATCCATATATAAAAGTTTCTTCAGAAAAAAACAAACCAATGAAAATAAATTACTGTGCAATATGCAAATGACAGTAGTGATCACTTCAGCCATCTGTCTGTAAGGCAGTCACATCCTTAGAGCAAATTCAAAGAGAAAAAAACACTAAGTTTTGGACTTGCACCCAAGGTTCTTTTTTTCTAAATATAGAAATTAATATTAAAGTCTCTGGTGCATTTGTAACTACTGTCCAGGTTGCTCCCATGATTCTGCGCCCCCCACCCCCCGCCCGCCATCTGACTGCTCTTATCCTTAGGAAGAAAGCTCTCTCCATCTCTCTCCATCTCTGCTGACAGCATCAATTCAATGCCATTCGATTATGCAGGGATCCGGGAAAGTGTACATAATTCAAACCAGAGACAGTGAGCTACTTAGTGTTTTAGATTTGTTTTTAAGGTCCTAATGGCCTATCAACTACATCAGAGTGAAGAGTTTTCATAGTCGTCTCATTTTGAAAGCTAAACAGAGACAACAGTTTCTAGTTTATTTATGTTCCTTAATTATTTAACATAAATGGAGAAATTTTCCTTGGGGAGTTTGACATGAAAAGGAGTTTAGTCTACATGAGTTTTATAAAAATAGAGCAATCGGGACGAGGAGACGGTTTCCCTGATCACAGTAACCACAAGTAGTAAGGACCTGTCCCTGGGCAGCATGGTTTCCACGGTGATGCCTCTTGAGCCACTGAAGACTCTGGTGGCAAGCTGGCTATGGCCCTGGAGCACCCTGGAGTAAACTTTCCCAGGAAAAAGATGAGACTTCCTGCCAAGGGGTCAAGTGAGGAAGGAGTAGTTTTAATTTGATAATTAAAGAATTGTGACCCATTATGTATCACAAACTGATAAGACAGTAAATAGACAACAGACAAAATGTCTATAGTTGGCTTCTTCATAAATTATAGATATAGTATAACAATAATTGTTGTACTGTATAGAAATATTATGACAACAATAGTGGTACTGTATTCTGTTTATATGCATAAACTAATAGAGTTTTATATGCCTCTGTTTATTATGAAGGAAATAATGTTAATTTCATATAACTTGCATCTACACAGTCCTGTTTACAAACATTCCTAATTATAAAATCCATGGTGCAACAGTAAAAAAATAACTTCCAGATAAATGACTGTTGGGAGTTGGAAACAATGAAGAATTATAAGAAAACCACCACATTATGAAGAAATGGCTGTGTTTATTCAACCGAGGCTTTATAGAGCTGTGTGCAATGGAGCTTGCCATGACTATTAATCAATTTCAGTGACAGTAGTCAGGTCTGAAACAGAGGCATGATCCAGGCACCTGTTAGAGTGAGGTGGGAAAGAAGTGTGGGAGAAATAGAACAGCAGAGAGATGAGAAACCCTTTCTTGTGGTGGAGCTCTGTTTGGAGGTTAAAACTTAGTTGTCTTTACTCCCAGTTATAAAGAAGCCATCCACCTGCAACTTTTAGTTTTTGTCTGTGTGTGAGTGTGCATGTGTGTGTGTGTTTGTCCCAAAAGTCTTCAACACAAATGAAAAAAACTAAGAGTTCTTGGACATTATCACATATTGATACCAAATACACTTCAGGTGCTGTTTGAGGGACACACATGCTAGCTAAGGTTTTTCATTTACTTCTGGAATAGATCAATTCACTCTTTATGTTACCATCTTTAAAAGTATTCTTCCATATGTGTTTATGTTTCTTCTTACATACACATGAAAGTTTCTTCATATGTATGGGTCCTTTGTTCTTGGGTCGCTCCAGTAGCCACCCACTTAATCAAGTTATCTAGTGGAAAGTATACAGAAAAATGTTGTTTTCTTGGAAACACCTTACACTAGGCATTGGTGTCCCACAGGGTCAGTGGTTTGTAGGCAACTCCACAGTCAGTGGTTTGCAAAGCTGCTAACATCAGCTTCACTAGAGAGAGAGGAAATGTATCTTTCTGGTGCATCTTACCTGCCCACATCACCTGGTGAGTCCCAGGAGAAGCCATGTGCACACCTTCTGGCTTCCACAGGGAGAAGAAGTATCCTTGAGTCTGAGATTTTATAGTTTATAATGTTTGAATAAGTCCTAAGCAGAGTGAGTCCTGTTGTGCTTTGGGTGACTCATGCTACCTGACAACCATTTCAGGGTCAGCTTCAGTGAAGAAAATGTTCCAAGAAGCCAAGAATGTCTTCCAACCCCCTAACAAACTTTGCATTGAAAACAAAGTGCTAAAAGAAATATAAGCGTATGCCTTTAAAAGGAGACCTGTGGAATGAAGAGACAGAACAGCTACCAAGTGTTCAGGATCCCACCTCCCCCACTGAACAAAGGCACCTATATTTCACCAGAAATAAAATTTTATTAGTAACATGTCAAATATGTTTTAAAATACAGTTACCTTTCTTCTTCCTCTCAGTTAAAAAAACAATCCAATAAAAATTCTAAATCATGACCCAAATATTTTTAAATGTGAAAAAGACATATTTTAGATTATGTAACAGATACACATTTTCCAAAATAAATGTTGTAGAACACCATCTGCTTCATATTTGAGTGCATTCCCACAGAACTAAATTTCTGCTCCTCTTCTTTCATTAATGGTTTATGACAAATTTATGACACTATATTTCACAATAGCCATACCAAAAATTTATGACCGAAAGAGAGTCAGACAAAAATCACTTGGCATGCTCAGATAGACAATTTATGTGACTCTCTTTTACACGGATCCTCCACCCTTTACCAAGACCCCAATAACCAAGGAGAAACAGGAAGTCCATGGCAAGGGCAGGATCTTGCAGAGCACAAAGCTTGAGAAAGAGTTCAAGACAAGAAGTGAATGAACTGGGCGCCATTTTGTACCTCAGGTTTACAATCTTCAGTCCGTGGAAGCCACCCAAACTTTTGAATTTCATAATGAATGTTTTTGTAAGATTTTCTTGTATTTGGTCAAGTAAGAGATTGTCATTCTTTGCTTTAATATTGACAAATGGAGCTCCCTCATCTGAGTAAAATCAAGGGGAAGATCAGGAAAAGAAATTCTACCAAGTGTCATTTCCTGACTGCATTGAATCCATGTTCTTCTTCAATAAGTGTAGATAAAACTCATGCCAGAAGTAATTTTCTACATATTTTACAGTGCTATAATATTTGTGGCAAATTTAGAAAACCAGTCTTTTGGCTTTATGTTATTTACTATTTTTGCCTTTTATTTCTTCAAAGAAAAATTTATTATGGGAAATGGACACGAAAGTCTGAGTATATAGGCTTGCATATATATTTACCTCAAATGATCTAGAGATTTGCTACTTACTGTGGGGTCAATAGCAGCATCTGCATCACCCGGAAAATGTGCAGTGTAAAGACTCTCAGGCCCTGTTGCAGACCTAGTAAAAGGAATCTGTATTGCAACAAGATCCCTGGTGCTTAGGAGTATCTGAGAAGCACTAATGTAGAGGATGTTTTTAATCCACTGAACTACAGGGGAATTGTTGAGGAAAGACAGAATTGCTTTAATAGGGAAATTTTGTCCCAAATATTTAACCAGGAATGTAATAACTTTTAGACACACTCCCCTTTAAAAGAAACAAAAAAATTTGACACTTGTCATGTTGCTATTGTGTCGTGATAAAGTTTGAGAATAAGAACATGTAAATTAAATGACATATATTACATAAATACTCAACTACTTGAATTGATTATATACAATCTTTCATTATTTCCAACATAAGATATTTTCTTTAGTAAAACATACAACAATTACATTGAATTGTAGAATTATGAAGATTACCTTAGCAGATGATTATTTAAAGTTTACAGTCCTTTTTAAAAGAAGTGTCCATCCAATAACAATTATGCTTATGTAATTAATTCTAGTTTAAAACATTCTGGGAATCCTTTCCCAAAGGATCTAGTCAGGAGCACAAAGTGTTGCTTTTCTACAAGAATCTCTGAGCAAATCAGTATCATCGCTAGAGGGCCAGGAGGGGATGAAGGACAGAACTTTAACCTTCACTAGGAGGGTACTGCAAAGACTGGGGATTAGGCTGTAATTCACAGAGGAAGCTAGGGCGGTACAGAAAGGAGATGGCTCCACTAGCTGGTGTTAAGAAATCCTGAGGTTCATTCAAGCAGTTCACCAGCATGAGGCCCATTAGAGAAGGCTACCTCTCTGACTTTACACACACCATGCACAACTCTCAGGCTATGACTTAATGATTCTGTTTTTCACTTAAGGCTTTCCTTGACATCAACAGCCACCTGATTGGCACTGACCATGACAGCTCGAGAGGTGAAGGGAGATGGAATTGTTCCATGTTTGCATGTGTCTCCCTTCCATCTTCACAGGGATTCCCAGGGATGAGCTACAGCCAGCTATACTCCCCCTAGGCAAGAGTGGCTTCCCATTATGCTTCCAAGTATAAAATATACTGCAAAGAAAATCTATATACTCCTTCCACTCCTTAATCTGGATCAGTAGAACTTCCCTTCTTCCTGTGCATCTTTTCATCTGCCAACACCTTGGGAGATACATGTTTGAAACCCATCCCAGATTGGAAAAGAAACTTAGGTGCTGCTCCCAGTAGAAAGTTCTTACCCTATAAGGCAAAAATCAAATCATCTGGATTCTTCCCTCATCGGTGAACTGAGCTAAGAGACTGAATATCACTCACTTCTAGGTCCCCAGCCCTGGCATGGTGCTTGGCTCAGAATAGTTTGCTCAATAAATGGTTGTAAATTGCATTTATTTTCAAGTCTTCTTGCACTGAATTTGTTAAATCTTGGGATGTACATTCAGAACAGGCAGTGCATTTGAGCTTATCCATTTTACATATGGCTCCCCATTTAGCCTTTCTCCTGATTTAATTATTTCTGCTTTCCTTTGCTTATCCATCCAATGCAATTTCAGGAGCATTTTGCAATAATACTACACTTCATATGTACCTATGCTGAATAGAACCTAGGCTTCTGCATTATTGGTAATTGAAAGAAAGGATCAATGCATTGCAGGTAGCGGGTGTTTGGGGTATACAGTGGACACAGGAAAGAAAAACTGAATATAGCAAGCAAATAACCCCCCTCATAAACACACACACACACACACACACACACACACACACACAATAAACCTCCTCTTTCACTTATTAATCTGATCTCTCTCTTTCTCTCTCTCTCTCACTCTCTCTCCATTTTTCTTTTTTCATTTTCTTCTTACTAGGTCTTTGGGGGTACTTGGGCACCCACACTTAGATTCCCCACCTCAGCTTCCTGAGCCTAAGGCTGATTCTTGTTATCAGAGAGAGGATGCCCAGGTTTAAAGCAAAAGTAATGATTTCCTACTTTGTGCATCTCTTGATGGAGCAAACCTATAGAGGGGTCTCCCTACCTATCAGATGGTCATGGTAAAATGACAGTGATCTATTGGTTAACTCAGACAAGTTTACAGAGTGTAAATATAAATCACTATTTTTAAAATCAAGATAAAATTAGTCAACTCCTTATCTATGAGTTGTTAGAAAAAAAATTTAAATGCCCCCAAAAGTATTTTTAAATAAACTGTTTTGAAATCAACACAATTAAAAAAAATCATTTTCACAAATACTGCTGGTTTCTAAGACAGTTCCTTTTCTACATAGGAATACAGATTAGAGAGCTCAATTGATGATGTCATCCAATAAAAAGACTTTCACATCTGTTACTGGTTTTTTGCCCAAGAGTTCTTGCTTTGTTTAAGTTTTCTGGCATACAACAAATATTATAATTTCACACTTCCCTGATAATTCTTCTCTCCTCGTTTCTGTTTTAAAGTGTATTTCTATTCTCAGCTAATTTCAATATGTGGCTTTTGTTTATGCACTACATCTACTACCATTGGTGTCTTTTTCTTAGAGACACTGTCCTAAACCAAGCCAAGTGTTTAAAGTTTTGAAAGTATTAGAAAGGTGAATCTATTTTAAAAACTATATTATAATTATCAAATTTGGAATCTTGGAATGGCCCCACTTAAAAAATATATATGTTTTTAAAAGAAGTATCTGAGAAATAAGTTCTTTTATAAGGAATAAAATAAAAAATTTAAACTTTGGTGCCAAATTTTGTCCTTAACTTTTAAGTATTTATTTGTGTATTTCAAAGGTATCTCATCATCATACTAAATTGATTTTAAAACTGACCACGGTTATAATTTTCTACTTTCTTCTAAAGCATTTTTCCTAATTTGATTGAGCAACTAAATGTAAGGCTGACACTTGTATCAGTGTTATGACTATGTGGTCTTCAACAATGCAGGCTAATTAAGGGCACCCATATTCTATATACCAGAAGCATCCACGTTAATCATCTTGGTGATTCACTAGAGAAAACAAATATTGAATCAAAACTAAAAACAAAATTGTCTTGAATAGAAAAAGCCTGTCTGGGTTACTAGTTGATCTTCAGCTAAGGAAGATTCTATGTTGACAAGACACCATATTTAAATTGCAAAGGCATATGATTACCAAAAGCTTGTAATCCCTTCACTTAAAGCAATGTCCTTGATTATCATTATTATGTAAAAGGTGCTCTGAGAGCACATTAGTGAGCAAATCATCCTGAAACACTTTCACAGTGTCCCTCTACCTCCTGCACAATCCTTAGATTCTTATCTTGGTTATCATAGTCTTCCTGACACTCATCTTTGAGTCTTTGGTATTTTCTTAAATACACCTTTGGCACCTAGTTTTTCCAATCTGCTTAATCACTTAATGACAATTCTTGAAACAATATGCTCTGTAGGACAAAAACCCCAGACACGGAAATCAGACATCTCACCCAAACCTCACAGAATAGTATGAATCAATTCAAACAATTTCATGACTCTATCCAACTTGTTAAATAATGATTTTTCAAATTGTAAAATATCTAAACTTCACCACCAAAGGCATTCTGAAACATTTTGTCAAATAGTGAATGATCGACTATTATACAAAAAGCAGTGCAAAATTTGATCCTGGCAGCCTTAAATGCACTCTTAGCTCGATGAAGAAATAACATCATGTAGAATTTCTGTTGTTCTCACCAATTGCTGCAAATATCAACCCATGAAAAAACACATTTTACCTGCCTACCCTTTTCCTGAGCTTCACAGCCTATAAAAAAGAAAATAACATCATGAATAAAAATTTTAACTCTTGAAGGCCCAGCACAAATTTTAACCAACCCCTAAAGATAAGTCCACCTGCAATGCTTTTTTATTAAATTTTACTTTTAAAGAAAAAAGTCTATCAAGAAACCAAAAAAATTATATAATAATAATAATAATAAAAAGGATCAGTTTGGAGTAATCCAGTTGTTATTTTCAGCAGTTAGGTGGCAGGGAATGCTTGCCCCAACTTGAATCGCCACTGATGGTACAAAGAGAATAACAATATAATTTGGGACATGCTTGGCAAGCCAAAGCATTTTTGAAAGAACTAGCCCTCTCTTCTCTCATCCTCAGAGACATAACATTGTCAATGTAATCTGTTACTTTTTGTTACTTGTTATAAAGAGTGGCAGACTTTAGAACCAGGGGGCTTAAAAGTTTTAATCTATATAACAGGTTGATATAAATCCCTTCCTACACACCATATGTTCAAAAAAAAAATCTTTGCTTCTAATGCACTAATTCAATGCTTTATAAGTGGACATATTTTCAATTCAATTTGATGATACTAAGGACTGCTGAGTAATAACCATGGGTCTCTCCAATCAGTTCAGCATGCATTTCATCAAATGCACTGGTAATTAGTGCCTTATATGAACATCTTCACTATAAACAGTTCAGGCATTTAGAAACAAAGTATCAATGAACTTAACAGTTACTTTTAATTCATTTTATAAATAAGCAACTGAGAATTTTGCTCCAAGTGGCTGCTAGTGTATCCCATTCCATAAATGGCATTCTCCGAAGCATAAGGCACAATATGATATGAATGCAGCTCTTCATAATAGAGAGACTGAGAACAGCATTCCTGTACCATAAACTTCAGCCGTTTTCTTGTATCTGAATATGCAGTCTTATAACAGGGAGCTTCTTTAAAGTATTCATAGCTCTCTTTCTCCGTCTCTAGATGTATCTTCCTCAGCAAATTGTTAATTAACACAGACCTTCTTAAGTAGGTTTCTGGGTCTTCTAGAAACCTGAGCTTCTCCAGAGAAAGTTTGAGAATGCAAGTCCTGTCCTCAGGTAATATCAGGTGCTGGAAAACAAAGTCAATCATTTAATCCAGATGTAGAAAAATGACAAGTCAAGCTTTTGGGTATGGACAACATTCAAGACAATGAAAAAAGAAAAAAAAGAATAATAAATACTTACTTTTGGAAAATACCCATGGTAATCTTGATGTAAATCTTCTTCTTCTGCATATTTTCTCTTAAAGTAGGCTACTTTCGACGTTGTTAATGAATATGTTAATACTTTTGTTGGATAAGCTAAAAAAAATAATTGGAGAAAAGTCAGATGTTACCATGGCAAAGAATATTTCATCATATAAATTATACTTGTAAAAAGAAATTGGTGACCCCAGAAATTGTTGTCCTCTCCTCACTAAAATCACATGGACAACCAGTCGGTGGCCACTGCCATGTGTTTGAAAAGCCTGTAGGGAGGAAAAGGCCACCCTTTAGAATCCAACTAGGTTGGAAATTGATATTTATTTCCTTTTGCAACCTCTCAGAAATCAAATACCAATACTTATTTAACCTCATAATTTTGTTTTGTTTCATTTGTTTGTTTGTTTGTTACCAGGGATTGAACCCAGGGGCACTAAACCACCGAGCCACATCCCCATCCCTTTTTAATATTTTATTAGAGACAGGGTCTCACTGAGTTTCTTAGGGCCTCACTAAATTGGCGGGCTTTGAACTCACAATCCTCCTGCCTCAGTCTTCGTGATTACAGGTGCGCACCACCATGCCTGGCAACCTCATGCTTTTGAACATCAAAACACACCCAAAGTTGAAACTGATCAACAAAATACAATGGGAGGAACTAATGTCTTTCAACATTCTTTTAAACTGCCTAAACCACAGAGGGCATTTCATGTTGCTGTTTAAACAAATTGGCATAAAATAGTCAGTTACCCTGTTACAGTTTAAAGAAATAACTGTGTTTTGAAAGTTAAAAAAAAAAAAGCCCTAGATTATAGTTATGGTATATCATGGTCCTAACACATGGCTTAATGTATGTCAATCCCAAGTAATTGAGAGGTTTAAGTAATGCTATGACTAGCAACACTGACCTTGATATGATAGCAAAAGTTAAAAACTTAGTTTTCTCCTTTAATTTACTATTTATAGAGATTGAGGATTCTGCCTTGTTTAAGGAGGTATAGAGTTCCAGAGTTATGAAACAGTTTCAGACTTGAAACGGTTTGTTCAAAGAAAGTTCCTATAATGTCCTCTAGGTGGCGCTGATGCCACAGAAAGGAAGCAAGAGAAACCAGAAAAAGACAAGGAGCTTCCTATTCAAAGCAATGAATGAATGCAAACTCAGTCCAGTTCAATACTCACTCAACCTCAGGGGACCAGACCACACAAAAAAGCTCCTATTTAAAGATAATTTATCTCACTTTTTGTCCATACCTCCATGTAGTAGTAATGTGTTGATTAAATAAATTTCTGGTAAGACATTTGATATTTTTCCTCTAGATCTTTTAAAATTTTTGAAGCCTAAGTATTAATAATATACTCTTCAAAAACATGCCTTTTCTAGTTTTTCCTCCAACTTGGAGGCATCCACATAAAGCTTTCCTGCAACTTCTTGTAACTGGATGGTTTTCCTGAGCCAGTAGGGAAAACTACAAAATCATACCTAAAGCATTCCAAAATTCAGTGGTATCACTGTGGATTATAAACCCAAGAGAACTTTAGGTTAGAGTTGGTATGTTTTGTTAAGGGAATCCAGAATTTTAAACAACTTCTATATCTGCACTAAAAAGAGATCACTATGTAATGTTAATTCACAATTGAAACAATGATAATAGTTGCTATTTTATGTACACAGTCCCTGAATTTAACAAGCAAATTTTAGTTTACATAGATTTTTCACTGCTCTCAAAAGTTTAGGGAAAAAAAGAATGAAATTGGACAGAAAAGAAAAAAAAATTCCTGAACAGTTTTCTAAGGAAGTGTTTTTTAGCAAACTACATTTTTAGGCATGTTTTTAAGGGATTTAATCAAATAATTAGATGGCAATGGTTTGGTTTATCCCTTGTAATAATTATTCATGCTTCTTTTTAAACTGTGTAACTAATAGATGTAATAGTGGTTCACAAATATCAGCTAGCATCAGAATCATCTGTAGGGGCTCCTTAAAACAAATTGCTGGGTTTCATCCCCAGAGTTTCAGTCAGTCTGAAGTGGAGAATTTGCATTTCTTACAAATTTCCAGGTGATGCTAGTGGTACTGGTCTGAGACCCACATTTTAAGAGCCTTCATGTTACATCCTTAAGTATGTGTTATAGTAGTGCCACAAAGGGGGCTGGAGATATGGCTCAGTTGGTAGAGTGCTTGCCTTGCATGCACAAGGTCTTGGGTTCAATCCCTAGCACCACCACCACACACACAAAAAAAGTAGTGCCACAAAAGCAAGTTGAAATCAATCAACTGATTGACTTAACATCAGAATGGCAAGCATTTGGCTTGATTGGTTTTTTTTTTTGTTGTTTTTGCCATCTCTTCCCTACATCATCTTAGATGCTTTAGCATCATAAACAAAGACAGACTGCATCTTAACAGTGAAGAATGAAGTCACTTTTCAACGGGAATCCCTTGGTTCACATTAAGAAGCATCAATGGCTGTTACTAGCATTATAGCTGGACAAGTCGCCATTTAAAAAAAAATAAATAAATAAAAGCAACATCCACTGAATTACTACAGTGAAGGGAAGAGTGAGGAAAGACTTGGAAATGAGAAGAGTAACTTTACCATAAGCAAACATTATTTTCATATATATCTTTTTTAAATGTCTGCTCATTTTATCTTCCTGAGTAATGTAATGTCTACGGCCTTTATGACCAATTAAAAAGCTTTTAATGAATGATACAATGGAGGGCAGGTTGTAGTTTGGAGAACCAAATGTCAAATAGACTTATTTTTCTGGCTCCCAAGTAAACCTCCAGGGAAGATATTTTGGTTTAACAGAGCAAGACAAAATAAATAAACAAATTAAAAGTATATATTAAATGACTCCAAGGTTTATAAAGATTCTGTCTGGCTATATTTAAGCAATAACCTATGATACAGAATACACTGGTCCCTGAAAATACACTGTAAATTCTCAGGAGATCTCCATTTGAGACTTCACTCTTCTGTGAGCAACGCACTTAGCCACTTAGTTTATTGCACTTACTTAAAACAACACCCACATAGGCTGTGGAAATGCTGAATAGCTTTCACAGCTGGTACCAGTTTGGCAATTACCTCTTTGCCAGCTGTTTAGCTATTTGCAATGTTTTGGGCATCGGATTTTGAAGGATGGTTTTAGACTTGTAGGCTAAAAGATATAGCAAACATGAGTTCCTACAGCTGTTCTCCTGCTAGATTAGATCTCAAAAAATTCAGAGTTGGAAATTATTTATTGGTCATCTGATTCAAGGATCCTTGTTGTACAGATGAGGAAACTGTGGTGCCGAGGAGTCCAGTGGTTTATAGTCTGGGTTTTGAAGTAGGTGAAAGGAAGTTTGAATTCCAGCTCTGCCACTTCTTTGTATTGTGACCTTGAACAAATTACATGAACTCTCTGCAAATGGCATTTGTAAAATGGGAATAGAAATACACTGGCTCATAAGATCACAGAAATAATTCATGGAAAGTGACTGGCACTGTGCCTAGCATATAGTAAGCACTCAACCAAATTGCACCTCTTCTTAGTGCCAGTAGGCACAGATCTATCATATGGAAGCAATGTCAACCTGGCCTCTTATCTCTGACCTGAAGATTCTTTTCCACCATCCTGCCTCATGGAGACACTGGATTATCCTGTAAGGGACTGCTAGAAGATATATCAAATGGATAAGCTGAAAAAATATAATAGGTTCTATAAGTGCTCCAAGAAAATGTTTCTGGCTTATTGCCATTAATCATACATTTTAGGTGAAAAAAATATAAATGGTTTTTGAAGCATCAAGATAATCATCTGAATAATTAATGTTAATATGAATATCCAAAAAAGTTAGTTTATTATGATCTCTTAAACATGTGTAAATGTTTATCATTCTCCTGCAACTAAAAAGCTAAACTCCATCTAGCCAGTTATTTAGATAAAGCTAATGAGATAGATAAAAAGAGTAAAATGATTTTATGTCTCTATGTTCTGTGTTGAGCTCTGAGAACAGCATATAAATTATAAAACTGAATTAGATTGAGACTAAGTTTATCTCTGAAGGTGAAATAGCTAATGCTGGCTTGAATACTAAAATTGTTTTCAATGCTATGACCTCTGGGCACACAAAACATCTTTGCTAGGCTTGGTATATTTCATAGTGTAAACCTTCAATAAGCAACAAATTAAAAATCACAGATCAGAATGACCACCCACCCCCCCTCATCAGAGTTCTGGCCATGCAATGTATACATATTTCTGTAAATAAATGTTTAAAATTTGATTACGAACAATTGCTCAAAAACTCTCCCTTGTTCTGCTTCTGCCTCCAGACAACTAAAATTCTATTATTGTACAAGTGATTTCATTTGGTACACGGCCCAGGGACAGTACATTAAGAAAACATCATCAGCAAATTAATTTATAAACACTTTGAGAGAACAGACAACAGTAAAAGAAGAAGAGCCCCTGTCAGAGTAATTCATTCTTTGTCCAAAAGTAGAAATTCCAAGAAATGGTGAAGAAGTGATGTGTTAAATGTATCTTAATTCTAGGAGGGTTCTCCTTTTCTCCCCAACATTTTAATCAACATATTACAAAAAGCAAGAGTTTGAAACCATTCCATCTCATCCTCACTGCAGACAGAAGGGCAGGAGACTGATCAATGGGGAGAGACGAGGTGAGTTCCATCTCAGATCAACGAGTGACTTGGGTTGTCGACAAATCATATGCTTCAGTTGCACTCTCTCTTATTGATTTCTCTTTGTCTGGTGTTAGCCTGGTAGAAGCCTTTAAAAGTCTAAGTGCCCCTATATATCTAAATAATGATCTACTGGTGGCAAAACTATTGGACATCCTTCCTGAGGGCCTTGACCACTTTTGTTTGGAAGAGTTCTCCCATCTGTCAGTGTTAGCCACATTCTGCAGTCCTGCTGCATGGTTTAAAACACTTGAGCATAACCTTCTTAGAGCTGTCTCATGGCATTAGTTTAAATACTAGCCTTATAATATATTTTCTTTGTGTCTTTGGGCTGGATATTTGGCCCCAAAGAGCCTGAATTTTCTCATCTCTTAAATGGGGCAACAATATCAAATTCATTGACTTT